GTTTTTTGTAAATGTATTCTTGCAAAACACATTTGATAATGTGTTATGTAACATGAGACAATTCTCATTTCTTCAAGTTGAAATTTGATTGCAAAAACCTTCTATGGCAAATTCCTTACATTGAGGTTGCGTCATCCATGTTATTCGAGAATCATATATGGCAGTGGATATTATGGCTATAATAAGACACAAGACACAACATCGCAGGTATTTTGTTGTTTTTTATTGTATCTCCAAGTAGTTAAATATGCATATATTGTGGAATTGACATAATTGAGATTAAATTTCCTAAAACTCAGTGCTATATTTTTCTTTTAAGTAATGATGTATCCTTTCACTACTAATTTCCTTTTACTATTAAATTTTTATTTTATTTTTTTAATTTCAAGGGCCCGGGCATTGCCCGGGGTATTAACTAGTTGGCAAGAAAGGAGTGAATCACGTTGGACTGGTACAGCACAGAGCAGAGTGAATTAGGCAAGGACAAGGAAGAAAAAGAGCTTCAAGCCGGTAAAGGCGGCAAACTTACAAGCCGACTGTCCCTAATTTGTCTACCCCACTACCTTCCAACCCATCCCTCTTCCTCCCCCGTTAAAGCCCCTCTGCATTGGAGGACTCAGTCATATATCTCTATTTCCTTTTCTCTTCTTCTACAAAGCTTTGGATTCATGGCAAGAGGATCACAGCAGAACCAGAGAAACAATGGACAGAGTAGTGGTGTTAATTATATGAGTATTGGGGTTGCCAAGATGAAGAGAACTAGGAGGAGTGTTCCCAGGGATTCACCTCCTCAACGCAGCTCCATTTATCGTGGTGTTACTAGGTGATCAAATTCACCATTTTCCGCCTTGATTTGATCTTTTCTCTTTTGCATGGTGGATTTGATTTAGTTTTTTTAGCTTGATTTCCTTTTATAATGAGCAATACAGAATAACCCACCTTTCCCAAACCCCACCCCAACTTGAGACCTCTAACGTGGAGGTTGAAACTCTTAGCTACGGGCACGTCCCGGGATTGATTTACTTTCCATTCTTCTGAAATGTTTGTTTTGTGTTTGTTTCAGGCACCGGTGGACGGGCCGGTATGAGGCTCATTTGTGGGACAAGAATTGCTGGAATGTATCACAGAACAAGAAAGGAAGACAAGGTTAATTAATCATTAAGATTGTAAATTCATCCTTGTGATTCTCATGGATTGTATATATGGAACTGTTTGATTGACTGGTAAGGTTTTTTTGTTCCTTTTTTCCCCTGTTCATGATGATCTGGTGCTACTCAAATGCAGTGTATCTTGGTATGTTAATTAATTCCCCAATATTTCACTTTTTCGATTGAAGTGTAAACTTTTGTTTTTACCCCGTAATTTGCTAAATTGGGATTATTTTCAGGAGCCTATGATGATGAAGGAGCTGCAGCACATGCCTACGACTTGGCAGCACTTAAGTACTGGGGTCGAGATACCATTCTCAACTTTCCGGTAATTAATCTTGTTTTTCTAATTTAAATACATGATTACTATAGATGTGGAAGATTAAGGAAGCAAATGTTTTTTACAATGTTGAAAATGCATGCAGTTATCAACATACCAAAAAGAGCTGAAAGAAATGGAAGGCGTGTCCAGAGAAGAATACATTGGATCATTGAGGAGGTAAGATTTTTATTCTTTTTTCCTTTTTTGTATGAAATTCCTCATTATATTATGAGTTTTTTTGTTTTGTGGTCTAAACTTTAGATTGCAAATCAAAACCCTTAGATGTGAAGAAGGGTTTAATATTAGGGGAGGGCTTAATATCAAGGGAGCACTCTTCCAATTTAAGAGTAACTGTTTTGTAGTTCAGTACAATTTGAACTGCAAAATAATAGTTCATTATATTATTTCATATGCTCTAAATGGAGCAAGATTATTACATTTTGAGGGGTTAGATTAACTATGCAATTTGAGCATATATCTACATAACCAAATCTATATAACAAACAAAGATATATAATCTATCCATATTGACCGGAATGGTACTATTTGGTGTCCTAAATGCAGGAAAAGCAGTGGTTTTTCTCGTGGAGTTTCTAAATATAGAGGTGTTGCAAGGTATTTATTTAGCAGTTCATGTAATATCGATGAAATGATTTGGTGCTAATTAATTCAGTCCCGTGTTGTATAGTTAATCATCATTAGACGTATCAAAAAAATGTTTTGCTTGTAATTTTATTTCAGACATCACCACAATGGGAGATGGGAAGCTCGGATTGGCAGAGTTTTTGGGAACAAATATCTCTATCTTGGGACATACGGTAATATCTCCTTCCATTTTTGTCTTCTAAGGTCTGTCAAATGCCTTATTCACTAAAAATGAATTAAGCTTGATATAATTGATCTTTAATTAAACAATAATACAGGATATAATTATGGGTAGACTTAACACTAAAAAAATCTTGAAAAAATGCCAATTGAATTATTTAAATTTGAGATATCCATTGTTGTGTCTGTCATGAAGAACAATTTTGAAATAAAATAATTTGTCTTAATCTTATCTGTTCATCTAATTTAATCAACTATGAGGTCAAGGCCAAGAAGATACAGTTAGATTTGTTACATGGATGTTAGGCAACTCTATATCTGACCCAAAGTTTAATAACATTCCCTTTCTTGACATGGAATTAACAACAATTAATATTTGTAGGAATGGTCCACTAACCGGCCTAACCAATTCTTTGATTTCATTTTCCCTAATGGAAAGGGAACATCGAAAGTTTTCATGCCTTTTCTGAATGTTACCACTTGACTTCTGCAGCTACGCAAGAAGAGGCCGCCACTGCGTACGATATGGCAGCGATTGAGTACCGTGGACTGAACGCTGTCACCAATTTTGACCTCAGCCGTTACATCAAGTGGCTTAAGCCTAATCAGAATCCAAATGGCACTGAAAATCATCATCTTGGATCTAACAACATTAGTGATACTAATTCAGTGAGAATGCCGAACCCTAATGATCAAGAATTCAACTTGAGTTGCTTGAACAGTAACATGAGCCAGCAGCAAAGCTACAATATTATCAACCAGAATGAAGCCATGCCACAACAGCAGCCGCTGCCAGCGAATGCCACATCCGCCCTAGGGCTTCTGGTGCAGTCTTCCAAGTTCAAGGAGATGATGGAGATGACTACTTCAGCTGCTGATGGCCGGGCAGAATCAGAGCCGGTGCACTGCAGCTTCCCGGACGACATACAGACATACTTTGAGTGTACTCAAGATTCCAGCAATTTTGGAGACAGTGATGACCTTCTCTTCCGTGAGCTTAACTCCCTCATGGCACCAACAGTGTTCCATGAGTGCGACCTGGATGGCTAGCTAGATCACAGACATTTACACTATTATCTCTTTAATCCATCGTTAATCTCTTCATTCGTTATTATACACACAAAAAAATATAAATAATTATCCGCTCGATCTGCATATGAACATAAAGGAGACCATAATTCAATGGTCTTAATGAAGGGATTGAGTAGAATTTTCGGATGTAATTTTCCTAGAAGATTTTTTTTACAAGAAGGAAATGAAGACAAATATATGTAGAGAAGACAACTCATCATCGACACTCTTTTAGGAGGTAATTGATAACGTTTAGGCAACTCTCAAACTTATTATGATTATTATTATTATTATAATCCTAAAACTTATTCCAGGTATTTGTATTAGCAATTTAATATCTTACAATTAAAAATTATTATTATTATTTTTTAGTTATCATAGTTTAATCATGTATGTGTATTTAGACCATGCCTTTTCTATAATATACATAAATGATAAATTTGATTTAACTTTTTCCATATCATTTATTTTTTATCTTCTTATAAGTAGATCTTATGAAGTAGTTTCATTTTCTAAAATAATATATATATAATTTCAATTGCTATTTATAATATTATAAAAGTATTGTCTACACATTCATGTATGATCAAACTAGAATAATTTTTTTAAAAAAGTACTATTATTTTTATTTCTTAATTTGTTTACGAAAATATTATTATTATAA